TACGTCATAGGGTGATTTGTCTAAAAAATGTGGCATGTCTTTTATCTCTAGGTTTTGTATATCACATGGATTATTATTTTCCTATTTTATCATGTTCATATTGTGCATTTTCTACTGATAATCTTGTCTCAGATTCTTGGCAGTATACATCCGAGAAAATTGGAACTACATTTGACCTGATTCCTGGCTCAATAGGATATGTAAGCGCCACGACGGCTCTGTCATATACCCATTGTGATTATTAATTTTCCTTGCAATAAAAACTGGGACAAATTTTTTGAGAATTTATCAAAAATTCACAATAAAGGTGTTATCTCCAATAAGTCAAGATTGAAGATCATTTTGAGATTTGTCAAAAATTCTAACTGGGACAGAATTTTGAGGAGGACCTCAAAAATTCTGATAAATATTATGAGAAGCTTGATAGCAACTTCAAAGATCATTTAGCGCTTGAAGCTCAACATCAACATGAAAATCTTCAGCGTTGTCATGGCAAGCCAGCAGCTACTCGTATAAATCCTCAATAAAACTTGAGTCATAATAAACATAAAAGAGTCAGGAGTAAAATGTTGATTTCTCACATGATTTAAAGTTGTCAGACTTTTGTACATATTCTCTTTTAAAGAATCTTTTCTCAAGGTTTCTTGACTAAGTCGATAGCTAAAGGCGACATTGTGTCTACTATTTTTCTTTTTCAAGTACATAAATACGTAAAAGCATTGGGGCAGTGAAACTTTCAAGATAATCATCGAGTCATCCACCTCGTTACAGTTGGACAATCATCAAGCCATCCACCTCGTTATAGTGGACAATCCCCAAGCCATCCACTCGTTACAGTTGGACAATCATCGAGTCATCCACCTTGTTACATTCGACAATCCCCAAGCCATCCACCTCGTTACAGTTGGACAATCATCGAACCATCCACCTCCTTACAGTAGACAATCATCGAGTCATCCACCTCGTTACAGTTGGACAATCATCGATCCATCCACCTTGTCACAGTGAACAATCATCGAGCCATCAACCTCGTCACAATGGACAATCATCGAGCCATCCACCTCATTATAGTTGGACAATCATCGAGCAATCCGCCTCGTTACAGTAAAAAATCATCGAGTCATCCACCTCGTTACAAGTGGAAAATCATCAAGCCATCCACCTCGTAATAGTGGAAAATCATCGGGTCATCCATTATTTGCATTTTAATTATATTTTTCTTTTATTTTATTTGTCGGGAGGTCCATTGCATTTTTTTTATTTACCAAAAAGGTCATTGCATTTTTATTTACCAAAAAGGTCATTGCATTTTTATTTAGCAAGAGGGTCATTGCATTTTTTTTATTTACCAGAAAGGTCATTGCATTTTTTTTATAATTTTTCCAAGAGGGCCATTGCATTTCTCATTCGCCGAGAAAGTCATTTGCATTTTAGTCGCATCTATTTAAAGGTGAAAGATGTGCACTCGATCTATTCCACGTTCAAGTTAAAGGGAACTTGCGTTGAAAGAATTTTTATTTGTCCTACCGATGGACATACATTCAAAATCCTACCGATGAGTAATCTTTTAGTTCGTCCTACCGATGAACATGCATTCAAAATCCTATCAATGGATAATATTTTCATTTGTCCTACCGATGGACATACATTTGAAATCCTACCGATGGACTATCTTTTTTTGATTCGTCCTACTGATGGACATACATTCAGAATCCTACCGATGGATCATCCTTTTCATTCGTCCTACCGATAGATATACATTCAAAATTCTATCGATGGATTACCTTTTTCATTCATCCTACCGATAGACATACGATCATATACTTCCAATGGATCATTTTACATAAGAGTCATGTGTTCGACCAAAATTGTGTTCGTCAAATTTTGTTGTCCACGATTTCTTTCACCAATCATATCCAACGAAAGGGACAATTGTTGACACCCAATTTTGGCCTAACATTTTTAAATTCACAATTTTAAGTTTTATTTATTTAATAGTTTAAAATGAATTTTTATATATAATTTTAATTAAGTTTCTCGATAACTATACTTAATCATTAAAATTTAATATTTTAATTTCTTATTTTTAAAATTACGTTTTTTCCATGTCATTAGTTTTGTTCATTATGTTTTTTAAAAATATTTATTTTTTATTTGTTACGTCGATTAATGTTAATTTTTATATTTTCACAGTTTAAAAATTCATTCAAAATATGATACAATTTGCATATATAGATATCTTTTAACCGATAATAATTTTTGGGCCTTAATCTTGAGCCCATGATTTAGGCCCACTGTAAAACAATACTCTATTTAGGGCTCTCTTAGGTCAAAAATAGTAGGTGGGAAAATAAAAGTATAAATTTAAGGAATCCCATAGTGTAATTCAATAATTACATTCTATCCCGACAAGTTTAGTAATTACAAAAAATCCCTTTAATTTGTTGAGCCGTGATACTTCAGACAGTAATGATATATGATAATTGAAAACTGTTAAGAAAAACGGAAAAGGGCCTAAAATACCCTCAAAGTATTGGAAATGGTACAAAATTACCCTTCATCCACCTATTGGCTCCAAAATACCCTTCTCACCCACCTATCGGGTCCAAAATACCCTTGTCATCCACCTTTTGGTTCAAAATTGACCACTTATTTAACGGTTTTATATTTAAACTATTTAAATATTTTTTAAAATACGTGGTGCTCAACTATATGTTATAATTTAACTTATTAGTATAATTTATAAATCAATCCACTACCCACCCCATTAATAAATAAATCCCTCTAAATTAATCAACCCGTCACATTATTAATGCAAGCTACTGCCAATTGAGTGTTTTTAAAAATTATAGAAGTAAATTATCATACATTTAAGTGGCTAAATAAAAATCACCAATAAATTTAAAAGTCTGACTATGTTTATCTTAATTATTCTTACGTCTCAATTATGTGATGTTACTTCATAGGTAACTTTTTTTCAAAATAATATATTAAAGTTTTAAAACAAATCATAAATATTTATAAAATTATCTTTAAAAAAAGTGCAAGAATCAATTCGGGATGTATTACTTCTTTACCTTTAATCATAAATTTCTAATTCTATTTTGAAAGAAAGTGTCCTCCTAAATAAGCGGCTCAACCTAAATTTAATTGGGGCTCTGATTCGGACTCGAATAATTTTGAGTGTCATTTGCAGAAATCTATAATTTCATCGTGTTTTTGTAGTGTTTATGACGATTTTGATATTATAATTGGATTATTAATTGGGTGAGGTTTAGTTAGTAATGAGTGTGTAGTGGTTTGGTTTATAAATTGTATTAATAAATTATAATTATAATCAATAATTGAACGCCAAGTATTTTAAAAAATATTTAAAGAGTTTAATTTTAAAACAATTAAAAAGTGGTCAATTTTGAACACAAAGGTGGGATGACAAGGGTATTTTGGAGCCAATAGGTGGATGAAAAGCGAATTTTGGAGCCAATAGGTGGATGAAGGGTATTTTTGTACCTTTTTCAATACTTTAAGGGTATTTTAGACCCTTGTCCGTAAGAAAAAATAGGGGAGGAAAACGGTAAAGTTAATGTTGTTACGAAAACAACTTAATTTGTGGTAACAGATCATTAATCAGCATTAAATCAGCACTTAATTGGATATTAATTTCAAAATTTGAAAAATCAAAGATTATATCATCTATTTTGAAAACAAATTTTATAAACAGTCTGTTAAAATTGGAAGTACAGAAATTTTATTGTTGTTACAGTGGATTTTTCAAGATGAATACTTCAATTTTGATGACACATTCCGGAATTTGGGTGAACAAATTGCAGTATGAAAGTTACAAAATCGATGGAATCGTTGTTGGAGATTCAATTTCGTTTTCTAATCTCAAAGCAGCAATTGCAGCCGAGTTGGATATTGATGTATCAAGGAAAGAAACTGAAATTCGATACATTGTAGAAGGTAACTCCTGTCCGATGAAACTTAAGAACGATATGAGTGTTAAACTATATTTTGAACTGAAAAAAAAAGCCTGGATTTTCAGTGTATCCATTATGTATTGACACAATTGAAAGAAAAGTGGTACTGTACATAACTTTGATGGAACAAGTAGAGAAATAACGTGTGTAGAAGGCACAACACATGATACACAGGCTTTGGCAATGGTTGAAACTAGCTTATTTGAGTCACATGAAAATGCAGAAGTTGGAGTTGCAAATGTTATAATCAATTCAGATATTGTTGATGTGAATACAGGTCAGATATACAAGGATAAAGCAACACTTGTAGATGTGATGACGAAATATAAGATATAGAACAACTTCAATTGCAAAGTAAAGAGGTCTGATCAACAAAGGTATGACAGAGTTTTGATATATTAATGTATCAGGTGTTGTTTTATATTTTAATTAGTACATGAAACATTACTATTTTATATGAAAACCTGCATGTTTCATGTGTTCTTTTATATTTTAATGTATCATCATTTTAGTACATTGAAATAACTATTTTTGATACTTGAATATACTACTACTGATATAGTAAGAACTAGTGGATACTTTTCATTAAATTTTGATACTTTTCTTAAAAATTGGTTGATACTTTTTGTGTAATTCATTGTTTGATTACTTTATACATTATTGTTGAATATATTATATGATGCATTTGATATGTGTATTAATGTGCTTAAAAAATGTACACAACTATGTGCTGATATGCTTTTCAGACAAATGTGGTTGGACTATGAAGGCGTCGTGCAGGAAAAAATCTGATATATTCATTGTTAGAAATTTCAATACTGAACATACGTGTCCGATGAGGGAGAGGGTATTAACCAAAGTCCAAGCAACAGTTGGATTTGTAAGTGGAGTAACAGCTCCAAAATTGGTCAATTATAAACGAATTTATACACCAAGAGATATAATTGATGATATTAGAGAATGCTATGGGGTTGAAATATCTTACCAGCAAGCATGGCGTGCTAAAGAATGTGCACTCTCCATGTTTAGGGGAAAACCATCTGCAGGATATAGACGGATGCCGTGATACATACACATGTTAAAAACTGTGTATCGAGATTCTTATATCAGAATGCATAAGACTGAAGAGGATGAATATATGTATCTGTTCATCGCCTTAAGACCATTCATTAGGGGATTTAAATACTGCAGACCAGTAGTTGTTGTGGATGGTGCACATCTGAGTGGAGCTTACAAAGGGACATTTGTATCAGCAAGCACACTTGATGGCGCAGGTAAATTTTATTTATAGTTATGCTATATTTTTATATATTACGTATCAAATAATATAATGTGTGTGTAATCAGGTTGCATATTTCCATTGGCATATGGTGTTGTTGACACCGAAAATGATTGTTCGTGGACATGGTTTTTCGAACAGTTCAAACATGCATTTGGCGATAGAAAAGATATGTGTGTTGTTTCAGATAGAAATGAGAGTATCATGAAGAGTGTTAGGATTGTGTTCCCCGATGTACCTTATTATGCTTGCATTTGGCATCTTTGGAAGAATGTATGTGGAAACTTCAAAAGGAGCAGAAAGGCCATAAGTGATCTATTCTACTTTATGGCCAAGGCATATAGAAAAGAAGATTTTGATAAGTTGATGGCTAAGGTTGATAGAATTGATCACAGGGTTAAGGAGTACCTTGAATTTGCAGGTTACGAAAAGTGGTCAAGAGTTCATTCAACAGTAAACAGAGGTAGAATGATGACTTCAAACATTGCCGAATGTATCAATGGTTGTCTTGTTGAAGCATGCCAATTAACTATATTAGAATTCTCGGAAGAGGTTAGAATTCTTTTTGGATCTTGGCATTGCAAAAACAGAGAAGTAGCCTCACACACAAAGGACACATTAGGTAGAAAATTTGAGGAATTGTTGATTATAAACGCGGCTAAAAGTTCAAAAATGGAGGTATGTATCATTATATAATACTTTATATTATATGTATCAAATTTAGTGTATCATTCTGCTTTTTTTAACATGATTTGTTTTTTAAAAGTTATATATTTAAATTTTTTAATGTACACACGTTTTTCCATCATCTGAGCTTATTTTCTCAGTTTATGAAAATGGAAGAAGATATATTGTTTGTCTTGAGCGGAAAGTATGTTGTTGTGGCAGATTTCAACTAGATGAGATACCTTGTTTACATGCAATCGCTGTATTGAAAAAAAGAATGTCACCGATATGAATCCGTATTGCTCTGATTATTACAAACCTGATGCGTTGGCAAAAACATATGAAATTCCAATGGTACCAATGCCAGATAAGGAAGATTGGTCAGATCCTAAACACGTGGTAGCTGAAACTGTGTATCCACCTGATATACCGTGGTTTCACGGTATAATTAATACTTTTTGCTTAAGTTTAGTGTGTCCGAAAGCCTTTTTTGTGCTAATTTTGATATAAGTTTCTCTTTGTTTTGCAGGAAATCTGTCCAAAGCTGAATGCGGAGATTTTGAGCGAAAAATGCAGAAGAGACCACCTACGGAGCTTATGACGGTCCGTTGTGCCTGTGACGGTCCGTAGGTGGCAGCGTAGAGAAGCTACTGATGGAAGATGGGGAAGTCTGACCAAGTGTAGGATTATGAAGCTTGTGACAGTCCGTCATGGCTATGACGGTCCGTCCTACAGGTTCGTCGTGAAGATCAGAGAAGTGATCCCAGTACCTAGATTCCAAGAGTTGAAGTATTTTGAAACGAGACCCTTGACGGACCGTTGTGCCTATGACGGTCCGTCACACTTGGCGTCGAGGGGAATGAAGAAAGAAGCAGAAGAAATTGCACCAAGTATGAGACGACGGAGTCCACGATGGTCCGTTGTGTCCACGACGGTCCATCGCGTGGTCCGTCGACCCAGTCGCATTTTGGCAGATTTCCAGTTATTAGAATCCTTGTTTAATTAGGTTTTTATTTTTTATAAATAGTTCGAAAAACCTCGTTTTTGAGGTTAGACTCTGGGAGATTAGACATCATATTATTAGACTTTGTGTATTAGTATTTGATTTTTAGAGATTCTTACAAGTGATTTTTGGTGATTAATCAAGCAAATTTTTGGACTTTATTCTTTCTCATTGAAGTAAGTACATGAATTCTTATTTAACATATTTGAATATTGTGTTTATGGCAATGAGTAACTAAACTCCATAACTAGGGTTGTGGGAACCATAGGCAAATAATGAGATAAACCCTAGCTAAAATAACAATTCTAGAATAGTGTCTTGCATGTATTAATAATTCTTTCGCTTAGAAGTCTATTTAACGAATGATCAACGTTAGAACTCGCCTTAATGCTACTTGCCGAACCAAGGAGGTAGATAATTGGAAAAGAATTATTCACATAGATTTAGTGTATACTATCTAATAGGCTAGTATTGATTGGTACGAGGTAATAACTTAGTCAAATATCGAATATGATGCTTAATATGACGTGAAGATAAGGGTTAGGAAAGCAACACACGCAGCTGGACCAAGGTGCGGAGTGAGATTTTCTAGATGCCGGACCAAGGATTTAGAAATACATAACTTATCACTTTGCATGCAAGATACTAGGAAAGAATTGTTATAGTTAGAATTATCAAGTTATGAACCTGTGGGGAACACGTAAACCCTAGTTACTTTAATTAATTGATTAAAACCCAACATTAAAAGCTGTTAAGTGTCCCTTTCAAGTTCGTTAGTTATTTTTACTCATTAGGAAATACAAACCCTCCTTTTTATGTTTTTACTTTCTAAGGAAGTCATCAACCGAACAATAGTAATAACAAGTTGAAGTTAAGTCTAGACTATTTTCCTCGTGGGAACGATCCCAACCTCACTAGTTGGGTTATTTACTTGACGCGACCGCTTTACTTCTCATTTGAGAAGTAAGTTTGAGCGTATCAAATTTTGGCGCAGCTGCGGGGAATTTAGCTTTTAGATTAACTTGAACTTATTACTAAAGTTTAGTTGATATTTTCTTTATTTTACTTTGTTTTATTGTTTTTGATTTCTTTTCAGAACTATCCTCCTTGTATGCCAAATACACGGAGAGGAAGAGGACCCTTGTTTCCCTACGATCATGAGCTAGAGCGTACACTGTGCAATATGAATCGAAACTTGGGAATAAATGATGAGGATCCAAACCAGAACATCTCAGATCATGTGGATGTTCATGGTCAGATGTTACCCGACGCTCCGGGTGAACATCAGCAGAGGGGACAAAATCCCGTTCCACGGCCCCAAGCATACAACAGAGGGTATGATAACATAGCAAACTTGGATGGGCCACTTGTCTTGCCCCCTCTACCCACAGGCCACACTTTTGTGGTAACTAGTAGCCTGATGCAAATGCTCACTGCCAGAGGTTTGTTTTCAGGGCTACCTTCTGAGGATACACATGCCCATATAGCTAAGGTAAGGGCAGTGTGTAAAAGTTGTGTGGGGAGGCCTGATTTGGATCTAGATGTAATAGGTCTCAGAGTGTTTCCTCTCTCACTGACTGGAGAGGCTGCTATGTGGTTTACTGAGCTCCCATACAACTCCATCTTCACTTGGAACCAACTACGGGATGTCTTCTTAGCACGCTACTATCTGGTCTCCAAGAAATTAAACCACAAAGACAGGGTGAATAACTTTGTGGCACTACCAGGAGAGTCAGTTAGTATTTCTTGGGATAGATTCACCTCATTCTTGAGAAGTGTTCCAAATCACCATATTGATGATGAGTCACTGAAGGAATACTTCTATCGGGGACAGGATGATAACAATAAAGCGGTGTTGGACACTATAGCAGGTGGATCTTATGGAGAATGCCCTTATGCTGAGATTGTTGAGAAATTAGAGAAAATCTCCCATAACAACAAAGCTTGGAGTACTAGGAAGTCCGATACAGGGAGAAACACCTTCGCAGTGCAGTCCACTCACAACCCAGCCACAGATGATATTCGTGAAGAAATGGCTCAGATGAGAACTGAGCTTGGGTTGGTACTAAAACATGTCACTGGGGGTGCAGAAAAGATTAATGCAGTCAACTACTTGGCTAAACCACCACCTCCAAACGATGAGTGCTATTATGTGGAGGATACTAATGCAGTAAATGAACAGACGGGGGGTTTCCGACCAAGCGCCCAAGGCTCGCATCAGACTAATTGGCGCCAAGGTCAAGGGAACCAAGGTCGGAACTGTGGTAACTACAACCGTGAGGGTCATTATGTCCGAGATGGAAACTACAACCGCGACAACAACTTTAACAGGGGTAACTATGCTAATAGAAACGACAGGAATGGGACCTATGTCCCTCCTCAAAATCGTGAAGTTACTCCAAGGGATGGTGGAGATAGTATGTCGCGGGTTGAGGATATGTTGCATAAAACGATGAGGAGGTTCAATGCTAGTGATGAACACATTAAAGAGTTGAGGTGTGATTTAGCTAGTATTGGGCAAAAAGTTGATACACAGGCAATTTCGATTAAACAGATCGAATTGCAAGTGGCCCAATTATCTGCAACAGTGAACACACGACAACCAAGCACTCTTCCTAGCAACACTGTCCAAAATCCAAAGAATGATGCGCACTGCATGGCAATCACTACACGGGGTGGTAGAAAAACCATCGACCCACCAATGCCATCTACTGGGGAAAATGTGGTAAAGGGTAGTAGTGAAGCAGAGGGAAGTAATAGAAAAGATGCAGAAGTACCTATTAAAGTAATTCCCATGCCTAGGCCACCACCCCCATTTCCTCAAACATTAGTGAAAAAGAGTGAGGATGGTAAATACAGGCGTTTCATAACAATGTTGAAGCAACTCTCTATCAATGTCCCTTTCGTAGAAGCTCTAGAACAAATGCCCGGTTATGCCAAATTTATGAAAGATCTGGTCACCAAGAAAAGATCGGTCACTTTTGAGGATGATGATAGATTGCAGCATTGTAGTGCTATTGCTACAAGATCCCTAGTACAAAAGAAAGAAGATTCGGGTGCGTTCACTATTCCTTTTACAGTTTGGTCATTACATTTTGCGAAAGCATTATGTGATCTGGGGGCAAGCATAAATCTAATGTCCCTCTCAATTTACAAGAAGTTGGGTTTGGGGGATCCAAAACCCACTGCGATGCGGCTACTGATGGCTGATCGGACAGTGAAAAAGCCCATAGGGATACTCCATGATGTGCTCGTAAAAGTGGAGTCATTCATCTTTCCAGCAGATTTTGTTATTCTTGATTGCAAAGTCGATTTTGAGGTGCCCATTATTCTTGGGTGGCCATTCCTTTCTACAGGTAGAGCCTTAGTTGATATGGAGAAGGGACAGATGACATTTCGGTTGAATAATGAAGAAGCAACCTTCAACATTTGTAGGACCATGAGGCAGAATGGTGAGCTCCAATCGGTATCTGCCATATTCCACAAAGAAAAGATGAAGAAGGAGACTGAACAGAAAACTGTAAAACAAGAGTTTATAGTTGGGTATTTAGTGCTTGTAGACAGTTCTGAGGTGCCTTGTCTTCCGGGCGAGCTCAAGTCCAAATGGACTGGCCCTTACTTGATTACCCAAGTATTCCCTCATGGGGCAGTTGAGTTAAAACACAAGGAGGGAGTGCGGTTTAAGAGGAATAGAGATAGAATAAAACTCTATTTTGGGCATAAAGCATCGGGGAAAAAAGTGATAGAGGCATACCATCTTGATGAAGTCTGAGTAATCGAGTGTCCTCAGTCGTACCGCGACATTAAATCAGGCGCTTGTTGGGAGGCAACCCAATACTTATCGTCTTTTTAATAATGGTAGCATTTTTTGTATTAATGGGTTTTAAATTTTCAGGCACATCACCAGGAAATTCTGCAGAAAACTACTCCACAGCAGCCACTGACGGATACAACGACGGACCGTTGCGCATGCAACGGACCGTCGTATGCATCCGTCACACCAGGTACGTATTTCTGTCATTTTGAATATTAGAGCACACACGACAGAACCTACGATGGGTCGTCACAAATGCGACGGACCGTCGTCGGGGAACCGTCGCGTGATTAATGAATTCTACCCGACCCGACCCAGCTGGACCCTTTTCAAAATCTGACCGTTTATACTCCCCACCCCTCCATATTTCACCCCATTACTTCCTTATTCCTCTCATCTCCCCTCTCTTTTCAACTTCCACACTTCCCCTCACTGATCATTGCTCCCAAAATCCTCCTAATCCTTATACTCATCATCCACTAGTAGGTGCTGCTGCTGTAGGTGTCTACCTTGCCAACTGAATCATTCTCCATTTGTTTTCCTCTCCATTTACAAGGTATGTGTCTCTAAATTTATACTCATTTATCTTGCATTTTGGTTCAGTAGTTAGTATTAGCTTAGTTCTAAGTCGTATACTGTTTTCTTTATATGCTTATATCTAAACCTAGGCTCAAAATGTTCGAATGTGCCATTTTGATAACCCTAGGCATAGGTGATTTTGCATTGGTAGTTTCCTAGGTAGTTGGGATAGACACATATAGGTCCACAACACTACAAGACCATGTGGGTTCATCGGGGATGCATAGGGTACCCCCAGTTCTAACACTGCTACTCAGAACGAGACCCCGATGACGGACCGTCGCACACACGACGGACCGTCGTAGGGTCCGTGTCAAAAGCCCTAACTCCCTGTCCCAACGACGCCTGTGACAGACCATTGTCTTCACGACGGTCCGTCCTGCACAACCATTCTGGTTGTCAGAGACCTTGTTTCTAAGGGTCTCTCAAAATTTTCTAAGTGTCCTACGATGGACCGTCATACCCACGACGATACGTCCTGCACGACCGTCATGATGGTCAGAGACCCCTCTGCTAAGGGTCTCCCAACATTATCCAAGTGTCCTACGACGGACACTTACGACGGACCGTCGTCCCCTTGACGGTCCGTCCTGCACGACCGTCATGATGGTCAGAGACCCCTCTGATAAGGGTCTCCCAAAATTTTCTAAGTGTCCTACGACGGACCATCGTACCAACGATGGTCCGTCCTGCACGACCGTCATGATGGTCAGAGACCTCTCTTCTAAGGGTCTCCCAACATTTTCCAAGTGTCCTACGGCGGACACTTACGACGAACCGTCATCCCCTCGACGGTTCGTCCTGCACGACCGTCATGATGGTCAGAGACCCCTCTGATAAGGGTCTCCCAACATTTTCTAAGTGTCCTACGACGGACTCTTATGACGGACCGTCTTACCAACGATGGTCCGTCCTGCTTGACCGTCATGATGGTCAGAGACCCCTCCTTTAGGGTTCTTTATATATACATAGACTAAGTACAACATGACGGACCTCATGACGGTCCGTCATATCCACGACGAGCCGTCATCTAGCCCGTCGTGTGATACAATTTCACTATCACTAACACACTATTTTAAATGTTTTATGTTGTATGGGCTTGCCTGTCTTGTTTGACACTACTCGTACTAATAGTGATCCTTTGCAGGTATTATCTACTATGGCACCCAAGCAAGACCGAACCTACGCACGCGGGCGATCCAAGTCTGTTGCCCCGTCTGCACGCTTGATCATCGGCTCTGATGATGAGCAGGACCCTGAATATGTGCCCCCAGGCACTTCCGCACCTTCCCATGCAGCACGTGCCCCTAGAGCGACACCCAAGACGGTGGCGTCCAGCATAGTCACTGCCTCCTAGTCTGATGAGGAGCGCACACTGACTGGCACACCCTCTGGGTCAGCCACAAATGAGGAAGGAGCGTCTGACTCCTTAGGAGTATCCTGGTCCGAGAAAGCTTCAGGATCTGCTGAGGTTCCCGCACCTGCCACTGCTGCAGCGTCGGGCTCGTCTGATGAGGCTGACAGTTCAGACTCTACATCTGGCGCACCAGCCCAAGTCCCCACCCCAGCCTCTGACCAGCCAAACCGGTAGTGTGTCGAAGGTCAATTTCAAGTTTACTCCGATGCCAAATTCCTGACTGATAAAGGAGTAATGACTCGGACACTCACCTTGGAGAGGCGGGTACTTACAGGGAGTCTCCCATCGATGCCGGAGATCCACAACCTATTCACCAGGCATCGCTTAGAGTGGACAGCCCGTCCGTTGGGACGATACAGCGAGGAAGTGGTCCGAGAGTTCTACGCATCCTACATAGCGACTTTTCGATCACAGATCGATAGGTGGGCTGCTCCCGCTAAACAGGCCCCACTGGAGCAGGTTCGTGTCCGGGGTGTGCAGGTTGACATTTTCCTGCCAGCTATCCACCGGTTCCTATACGGCGAGAGTGTAGATGCTACGCGGGCTCCCCACACTGCCGAGTTTGACTACTGCTGGCAGATAGTGAAGGATGGCTAGTTCTTGTGCGAGCAGGCACTGAGAGAGACCACCAAGAGGTGGATGGCCCTGCACCTATCAGTCGACGGAGAGGGTGCAGATTGGGTCACTGAGCCGAAGGGGGCCATCAAGAAGGCCAACCTCACGTTCGTTACGAAGTTCTTGTGGCTTCTCATCCGTCACTGCCTTTCCCCCACAGTTGCTGATAACATCGTCACCTGGGATCGAGCAGTGTTGATAGCGGTGATGATAGCCGGATTCGAGGTCGACTTCGCATCGCTTCTCCAGGCAGTCATGCACGAGAGGGCATTCAAGGTCACTACTACCTACCCCTTCCCGTGTATGATTTTTGCCCTTTGCAGGACCGAAGGTGTGCCCATATGGCACATAGATCAGTTGAAGACCCCGCAGGGCACCGTTGATGTCAGCCTCATCAGAGACGAGGCCAATGAGTTGGCCCTACATCGAGGGCCCCGTCCAGAGCTGCCACCACTTGCTGATGATCTTGCAGATACGGTGGCCCAGGCCCGCACCGCTACACAGGCGTCCACTAACACTACCCCGGTCGAGTCTATCCTGGGTAGTAGCCCAGCCCCGATCTCCTCTCGCACAGCTCCTTTACCGACACTGGTCCCGCTTGCTAGGGTCCAAAAACTGGAGGCACAAATGGCCACTCTTCTACATCATATCCAGTCGTGGATGCAGAAGACGATTACTGAGTCTGAGGCGCGTATAGAGAGGAAGATACACCAGTTTACCGAGCGGAAGATTGCTGAGGTTAACCAGCGCCTAGATGCATTTGAGTTGAGAGTGTTAGCCCGCCTAGCCCTTCCGTTAGATGTGTCGACTCTTCAGGCTGCAGTCGACAGTCTTCGTGCAGACATCGACACGATCCTAGAGGCGAGAGTGCCAGAGCCTGTCGAGCCTGCTGAGGACACTGTATTGGCGGCCCTATTTGCTACTTCAGAAATTCCCCCACCTTACCCTCGAGAGAGTGCCAAGAGGCGTAGGGGTCGATCAGAGGATGAGGCGCGAGCAAGGAAGAAGGAGCGCCGAGAGATGGAGGCCGCGAGGAGAGCCTCACTTGCTGAGGCGGAGGCACACCAAATCAGAGCATCGCAGATAGCGGCTGGGGCGTCTAGCTCCCGCACTGTAGAGACAGCAGGAGGCACTAATGATGGTGCGGTTGTTGCTGAGGACATCACTGAGGGTGTCCAGATTGCTGAGGACACCACTGAGGGTGTCCAGATTGCAGAGGATGTGGGTTCCGGGAAACCGGACCCACCAGCTTGATGATCGACGGCGCTATGCGCCACAGGTTTGCTTCACCTACCCCTCTAATCTTTAGAATTTTTTAATGCATTGGGGACAATTGCATGCTTTTTTTGTTGGGGTGGGGTAAATGGAAAGTGAGTGTTAGGGTGAAGTCTGAGTAGCCCAACTCAATATCCTCTTTTGGGGTTTTCTTTCTTGTGTTCTTTTTCCCCAAAAGACTGATTACGTTTTCTGTTGAACCGGCACGTTATATCTTTTGTACATAGTTTAACTCTGAAGCATGATGGCTAAAATGATATCCTGATAAAACTGGAAAATGTTGCATGACTAGGCGTAGTAACTGATAATTGTGTGGCTCTAAACATGAAATAGAGTTACACCATTGCATTAACCTAAAACTTCAAGTCAAACTAGGTGTTTGATAATCTGGTATAGTGATGAGATGTCAAGTGAGTGTGAGGAACGTTAAATAGTCCACAACTGGTACTGAGCTAGAACTTGCCTGGTTAGTCCTGCTAAAAGTAAGTTGTAACAGACAATTAGGAAAGGATCATAGGCCCTTATTCAAGATAGCCCATTTCTAGCCTAAATAAAAGAAACCAAATGAAAGTTATCCTTCTTTGATCCAAATAATTTGAGCTTAAAATTAGACCTTTCTTTTTCACCCCAACTGATCTTTTCTGGGAACAATATGTTGGCCCTGGTCCCTCCTTGGACATGTGCACCTCAGCTTGTGCCAAAAGCATAAGTTGAGGGTGGATAATGCATAAACAACCTTCATTATGGCCCTGACCCGACTTTGGGTATTGTGTACCTTGACTCATGGCAAAACCATGAGTTCAGGGTGGCTGTTTTGAGGAATGCTCTGGAAAGTGGGGTTGAAAGAACAAAGAGAGAGAAAGAACAAAAGTAAAGTTGACTCAAGAACTCGTTGAAAGAAAAGGAAAGAAAAAGAGAAATATTCAAGAATTACAAACAAGAAAAGAAAAGAGTTACTTACACAAATGAAGAAAGAAGGGAAACAGCAAGGTGAAAGAATAGGAGAAACTGGGCCAGATAAAGTGATAGAAAGTGGAAGGTTTAGCCGATATGTCAAGGAGGGCAAAAAGTCACTAAAGTATACCTAAATATACCCTACCTGACTCTGAGCCTACGTTACAAGCTAAAAAAGTCCTATCGTGATCCTAAGGGTTGTATAGCGAACTTAAGGTAGTGAAAATAAGGGCAAGCTTATGGCAATAGGTATGAATGAGTGTGACTTTGTTCTGAGAGCGAGTGTTGAAATGTAATCCTTATACTCAAACTGAAATCATTGTGTGAAAAATGAGGATTTTGTTCTAAAGTGAGGACACTAGTTGCAATACCGGAATTGTTAGCACCTCGGTGAGAAATTGAAGAGGATAGGTGTTAGTGCATGGTGAGTCTGTTTCATGTTCGAATCCCACAAAATTCAAGCCTAATAGTGATAGAATGCATAGATTTGATGAGATTAATCGGGATTGATAGACAAATGATTGCAAAGGATAAAACATGAATACTATTGTACAAAGATTGTGTAGTGAGTCATAATGCGTCTCTTGAGGACAAACAACGAATTTAAGTTGAGGGTGTTGATATACCGTGGTTTCACGGTATAATTAATACTTTTTCCTTAAGTTTAGTGTATCCGAAAGCCTTTTTTGTGCTAATTTTGATATAAGTTTCTCTTTATTTTGTAGGAAATCTGTCCAAAGTTGAATGCGGAGATTTTAAGCGAAAAATGCAGAAGAGACCACCTACGGAGCTTATGACGGTCCGTCGTGCCTGTGACGGTCCGTAGGTGGCAGCGTAGAGAAGCTGCTGATGGAAGATGGGGAAGTCTGACAAAGTGTGGGATTATGAAGCTTGTGATGGTCCGTCATGGCTATGACGGTCCGTCCTGCAGGTTCGTCGTGAAGATCAGAGAAGTGATCCTAGTACCCAGATTCCAAGAGTTGAAGTATTTTGAAACGAGACCCTCGACGGACCGTTGTGCCTATGACGGTCCGTCACACTTGCCGTCGAGGGGAATGAAGAAAGCAGTAGAAGAAATTGCACCAAGTATGGGACGACGGAGTCCACGACGTTCTGTTTATGGCTATGAGTAACTAAACTCCATAACTAGGGTTGTGGGAACCATAGGCAAATAATGAGATAAACCCTAGCTAAAATAACAATTCTAGAATAGTGTCTTGCATGTATTAATAATTCTTTCGCTTAGAAGTCTTTTTAACGGATGATCAACGTTAGAACTCGCCTTATGATACTTGCCGGACCAAGGAGGTAGATAATAGGAAAAGAATTATTCACATAGATTTAGTGTATACTATCTAATAGGCTAGTATTGATTGGTACGAGGTAATAACTTAGTCAAATATCGAATATGATGCTTAATATGAGGTAAAGATAAGGGTTAGAAAAGCAACACACGCAGCCGGACCAACGTGCGGAGTGAGATTTTCTAGATGCCGGACCAAGGATTTAGAAATACATAACTTATCACTTTGCATGCAAGATACTAGGAAAGAATTGTTATAGTTAGAATTATCAAGTTATGAACCTGTGGGGAACACGTAAACCCTAGTTACTTTGATTAATTGATTAAAACCCAACATTAAAAGTTGTTAAGTGTCTCTTTCAAGTTCGTTAGTTATTTTTACTCATTAGGAAATACAAACCCCCTTTTTTATGCTTTTACTTTCTAAGGAAGTCATCAACCGAACAATAGTAATAACAAGTTGAAGTTAAGTCTAGACTATTTTCCTCGTGGGAACGATCCCAACCTCACTAGTTGGGTTGTTTACTTGACGCGACCGCTTTACTTCTCATTTGAGAAGTAAGTTTGAGCGTATCACCACCTAGATACAGAAGATCATATGGACGACCAAGAAAAAGAAGAAGAAAGAATGCAGATGAAAAGATTTCGGTGAACACAAACTGTTGTGGACAAGAAGGGCACAACAGAAGAACTTGTACTTTCTACTTAAAAGAGAAGTGAATTAGTCGTAATGTTTCTATGATATCAAGAATAATTTATAACGTAAAAATTTTAATGAATTTCAGTTTTCATTACAAACTGCAAATTGAACACTTTGTGTTTGGATAAATAAACTTATAAACATGTGGTAATTAAATTTGAAGTCGTGCTTTTGATTATAAATACATTGTTATTATTGGTGTTGATAAATATAGTTGTGTCAATATTTGTTTTTAATATAAAATTTTATAAATGTTATGATACAGTAAGATATATAAATTTAAGAATTATTAGGTAACATAATGTATATGATACATATGGTTTATCTAGTGTATCATGTACTTTTATTGTGTGTTTTTAGTACACATTGTTTATCTAATGTATCATGTACTTTTAGTGTGTATAATTGATTTGCAGAATGATACATCTCCATTAGATAAAAAATACAAAAATATTATTGAGGTTATTGTGTACTTTACAATGACTATAAATCATGTATCATGTTAACTTATATAATTTAACTTGTGTAATGCTTTTTTTGTTATACTTTTCTTGAAATATATAGTAAATAATTTTACTTTTAAAAAATTATACCAATTCATATAACTATGCTATTCAATTTACCTAAATATCATGTAAAATTTAAGGATTATAGGATAACATATTGTACATGATACAAATGGTGTAGCCAATGTATCAGTTATTTTAAATGTGTGTTTGGTATATATGTATCATTTGGTTTTGCCCAGTGTATCATCTGCATCAAATAAAAAATTTAAAAATCTTTATGTCTACGTTTAATTATAAATACTTTGACTAAACTTTATTAACTGAATTAAACCTGTGTGGGGCTATAATATGTCTGATATTTATATGTTCAATATAAACATATTTGTTACGTAATGTTAAAAACAATATTCATGAAAATTGACAAAACCAAAAAAATAACATTAAAAAGGATAAAAATATTTGTTCACTAACATATAAAACCAATAAAAATAACATTAAAACATTGTTTTATCATGAAATGCTACACTATGTGAACTAAATCTTCTTCTGGTGGTGGTGTGACTACGCCCTTGGATTTTGGTGGATCATCATTGTCACTAACATATCCGCACATAGCCTTCTCACTTCCATAACTCCACAGCAATGCTCCATATCTTTGACGCAGGTAATCAGGACTAAAATCAGCATATGATATATTGATTTGGTCACTGATATACTCGGCAAATGCAGTAACATATAACCCACAGTCTCTACAAAAAAATACAGAATAAATTATAAACTTAATGATACATTAAAATGGAAAATGAAATTTTTTTGATACTTACAGGCTATTGCTTTCCTGTGTAGGGATGTCTTGTGCAAATTCAATCATGAAAGGGACTTGGGGATCCAGAAGTGAACCAGTAATGTTGTCTTTATATGCATGACAATCAGCAAATTTTGTGCATTCATTTTCTTCAAAAAATCCACTGTCAAGTAGGTATGAAGGAAGCATTTTAGACAACATCTTGATCGCATGAGGAATTGTTTTTTTCCTTGTGCTAATTGATGAGTGAAAAACCCGTATCAACGTGTTTTTCAACTTAACAACAGCCAACACCCAATGGAATTCTTGATCACAGTTAATTGGGATGTAGACCTCATCTACAAGATGTCATGGTAAAGCAGCTGGTATTCCAAACCCTTTGATGATGTTAATAATTGACCTCTCATGTACAGATACAACTGAAGCGCGATCAATATGTTCTTGAGTAGTAAGACTATCATCATCATCGTCCATGTAATATCTATCATAACAGTTTTTTACATGTGACTTGAACAAACAGTGGGTTGTTGTGTATCTGTATTGATCCATGCTGCAAAGTTTTAATTTTTTACGAAGGTAGTAAAAAATCACATCGATGTGCTATAAACAAATGAAAACATAGTAAGAAATGATATACATCTAAACAATATAAAAAATGAAATATAATTATGTGAATATATTATGATACTTTTGCAAATTAAATAGTATGATACTTCTACAGAATGTATCATTGCTAATTAAATAGTATGATACTTCTACAGAATGTATCATGATGTTATAATATAGTTATGACTGATACATATTTCATAAATAGTTTAATATTATTACCTCATCAGACCAACATTTGTTTGGCTGTGACATGACATAAAATCAATTCTTGTTCATTGGAAAAGCAACAACAAAGTCCATCATCGTAAATTCAAAAGAAGAAGATTTAGATCTATATTTATCGTCCGATGAGTTCCTGCATATATGATACATTAGTTTTCAGTGTATGTACATGATACATAACACTCACTTATTTACAATTTTTATATAATAAAGTATCATGAATTAGTTGTATAAAAAATGATTACGCCTAACACTTGCAAAAAAAATGTATAAAACTTACTTATTGTTATGGTTTTTTAGAAGCCCCCTTGTCAACCAATTCATGTACTCCTCAATAAGTTTCGTCGAAACTTTATCTGTAATGCCACATCCTTCGAACGGGAAATAGAGTCGATCCATATCCTTCAATTTCTCTTTTCCCTTCTCGCTTGACCCAAAAGAAGTACAATATGGAGATTGAATCCTTTTCGAAGGCATTCTATTTCTATGCGCAGGAGTGTCTGCATCAGTTTTAACAGCAATCTTCGTTATTGGAATATCAGTGGGTAATTGACTGTCGGTCAACAAGTACTGGCTGCTAGTTATATTCTGCGGATCGTAAGAATATAATGGTCTAGCATTAGTAGGATCTTTACCCAAATCTTTGATAAGCGCATCTATTGCTGCTTGAGTTGATGGCGATATTGTTGTTGAAGTGGAAGAATCCTGTATAATATGATGTAATGATTTTTATAATAAATTTGTGTGTAATGAAATTGTGTGTCATAAATCAAAATTGAAAAATATACCGATGCATCCGTTGTTGTTTTTTCTGGCAACACATGAGGGATGTTGTGCTGAATATTGTCATCAACGTCTTGGTCCATGATATGTTCATTTAAATCTTGGTGCGACTGATGTACGTCACCATCCTGAATATGCAGTTTTGAAATAAAAATTGTTAATATAATTTGTGCTGATACGTAACATTGATTATAATCACATGATACATAGTATTGAGTAAATATGCATGATACATGACAGAATATAAAATATGATCATGATACAAATCATTGAATATATATGCATGATACACAACATACCCAATGTATCATAAACATTACCTTTGGATTATCACTGACTATTTGTTCACCCTCATTTACGGAAACACCAACACCATCCACATCGACATCCCCTGCACCGTCGACGATATGATGCTCACCATTTTTACCAGAAAAATCACCACCATCCTCAGCTACACCACCCATATCATCGAGACCAATTGGTATTTCCTGAGATGTTTGTTTGTCAGACTAAAATGTGCTTGTATTAGCCTGCAAATTGATGTTCTCTTTGCCTATAGATTGCATCAGCTGGGAGTGATTTGCTTTTATCAAAATAACCAGTTCCTCAAATTTCTTGTCAACCTAAAAATTGTAGATACATTTAGGATAAAAAAATTTGTTTAAAAATAACAAAATAATTTACTTACGTAAGTTTTCAATGTGATTTCAACTCTTCAATATGAGGAATTTTATTGTTGACATTCTGTGAATTTGCATATCCATGAACATCAGCAGCCGGGTTCGGAGAAGCGTCTGGAACAGAACCATGTGCATCAGCAGCCGATTTTGGTGACACTTGTGGAACAGAACCGTGTACATCATCAGCATTCGAATGTTGAGGCAGACTTGACATGGAAACATGTACATCATCATCCGATGTCGGGACACATTTGATTGATCAGGCTGGTTCTGTTCTGACACCTTCTTTTTTTGAATAATCAATTTTTTTCTTCTTTTTGGCAGTGGTGGAGGAGATGTATCAGAAACTCTAGAATATGTCCTAAATAACTGTTCGGGCGGTTTTGTGGAGAAATTATCTAAATCATCTTCCTCGTTTGGTTGTACTAATGGTATTGATGTAGAATGAGCATGTTCAACTTGAGCAATATCAAAAGCTTCAATTTCCTCTGCTGTTGGGATAATGTTTGAACATGCATTCTGAATGTATCACAAACACACAAGATAATTTAACTGTTAGATACAGTAATATTTCATAATGTATCACAAAGACATAAATAACGATATTCCATATACAAAAATAAAATTTTACCTCTTGGAAAATGGTAGACATAAGCATTTCAAACTTTGCCTTTTCAGACACAACTCTCCAATTGCATATTCTTGAGATGACATTGCGTTCTCTCACAGCTATTTCAGAATTTAAATTGGATGCACATTCGTATATCCAAACATTTAGTGCATATGGCATCCCATATAATCGGTACAACTTTTTACTAACGTCAAAATCCTGTCTAAGTGAACCAATTAGTTTGGAAAATGATAGCTGACCCCAAGGAAAATGTTAATATCTACCATCTTCAACCATTAGAAAGTCGACAATAGATATAGTTGTATTATCAACAGTAGCTAATACAAATGTATGAATAAAGAACAGTATAGACATTTGGAGTGCATCCTGATTGCTCTCCCAATTACCCATCTTAAACCTTTGAACTAGTGGATGCTTTTGTAACACTATTGACTGCACCAGGGAAATACTTTTGAAAAAGCATACAATTAGTTTGTTCTGGGTATTTGAAATCATTGGTATTTCCTCTGACCTTAAGTCCTGTTAATAATGCAAATTCATCTATACCAAATTTCAGGACACACCCGTTGGAATGTCTAATATGCAACACATTAGGGTTGCTTTGTTCCAATTCTAAAAGCAATAAGCACTTAGTTATTTGGCCCTGAAAATTACATTTAGAAATGTCTAAAAAGGGTCCAAAAAGTGTATCCTTAAACATTTGGATAACATTCTCCCCTATGTATTTTTCAAAGTCCTTTAGGAAATTGTTGTTAAAATTGACAGCAAACCTTATGGGATGTATTGGTATCTTTTTAATCTTGTACTTCAGTGGCTGCAATTTGAAAATAAAACCCCAAATTAAAATGATATAGAAATATAAATACTAAATAAAACAACTAATAACTTACTGATACATGGTTTCAGTTTTCAGCATTTCATACTACATGAAAAACATGTGATACATGTCTATAACATGTATCAGTGAATTAAATAAAAGGCTTAAGTCATCTACGGCCCCCTAAAGTTGTCCACATAATTCACTTAGACACCTCAACTATGGCTTGTACCTATTGAACACTCTAATATTAATGGATATGTACTTATTGAACACAAAATGATAATAAAGCTTTTAAAATATTGTGTGTGTAATCCACGCACATTGTCTTGAAAAATAACCAATAATACTCCAACACGTGTCACATGGACCCAATTTATTGAATTTTCATTTTTGTTAATTTCAATCTTTAATTTTTTAAAAAAATGATTAAAAAAGAAAAGAAAAAGTCATTCCTCCCCAACAGGAACTACCCATCTTTCTTCTTCATCCCTTAATGTCCATGGACACCTCCTGCGACAATGAAAAAGAAGGAAAAAAACAAATCACTCCCCAGCCATTTATTTATATGTGCTTTCTTCTTCTTCTTCATTAGTTGTTACCCATTATTATAAATTAATGGAGTGAATATTGTATTTTTTGTGAAAAATAAACTAACTTTGATAAATTATTTTAAAATTAATTACCAAGAGAAATCGTGAGAATTTTAAAGTATTATATCAAATTTTCTAATATTATGTTATAACTTAATGTGTTGATGTTTGTTGATCGATGTCAGAAATAGAAATGAACGGAGTTGCCTTTAAAACTCTGATGTCCGATTATTTTTTTCATTCTTGCTAGTTCGATTTAACACTTAGAAGATTCAGTTTTTCTTTTTATGAAGAGCAAAAAAAAAAATCAACACAAAGTTTACAACAATGAAAATGGTAAAGAAGAAGACAACTGTTGATATAGCTTACAGGGAAGGGGGGGGGGGATTTGTTTTCTTTTTGGACATTATAATGCAAAATACTTTTTTTTAGTTATTTTTATTAATGTAATGCCAAGTGTCATTATAAGAAAAAAAGGGCATAAGATTATTATTAATAAAAAAATAAAAATTTAGACTTGTTCATGCGCTTCCATGCAGTGAGATGCACTTATTTTGCCATATCAGCATTTTATGCTTAATAGACCGTGTTTTGAATAATTTAGGTGTTTAATAGGTATAAGTCATAGTTGAGGTGTCTAAGTGAATTATGCGGACAACTTTAGGGGGCCGTAGATGACTTAAGCCTAAATAAAACATTATCACATGTGATACATGTCTAATACATGTATCATAAACATCGACTAAACAACATACACAAAGATTCTATATGTATCATCAACTACAGCTGATGAAGCATTTATTAAACTTAGTGAATGATACATTATAACAAATTTAAAAACATGTATCAGTACATCAACTAAAAAACTAATACCTTACTAATATATGATATCATTCAGGAATTCATACTACATGCAAAACATGTTATACATATCTACTACATGTATCAGTGCATTGACTAAACAATGTACACACAGATTTTATATGTATCATCAAGCACATTTTATACTTTACTAAACTTATTGAATGATACATTATAATAATTTGCAAAAACTTAATGATACATATAAAATATTATGATACACAACAAATTCATGTATCAGTTGACCATCTAAAACACTATACACCCTTTTTCAAATGTATAAGCAAGCACACTTGATTCCTTAAAATTTTTACTAATTTAAACAACACCATTTTTAAGTACCAAAATACTAACCCGAGACAATGTAGGCCTAACAACAATGTTTGCTGTTTCTTTTTTCCTTTTTTGTTGTATTTTGACAACCTTTGATGTTTCGCCAGAATCTTTGTTTGAATCCTTCTGAAGATTCATAGGATCATGCAAAGACTTTTTTCTATTTTCTTTCCAATTTTCATCGTCAGAATCATATACCCTTCTATTAATTAACGGATCCATTACTATGATGTAATAGAACAATTAACAAAAACAAAAAAGAGAAGAATATATGAATTGATGATAGATTAATGGGTTCAAACGATTCCAGATTAGGAAGAAATAGATGATGATGGATTAAGAATAAAAAGAAGAAAAGAAAAAAATATGCTGGGTTGAGATGAATGAAGATGATTAAGGAAAAAAAAGAAGTGAAACTTGGTGTTAGTAAGAACAAAATGGTAGAAAGATATGGAAGTTATCCTGCATTATGATTTTTTGAATTTTGAAATTCAAAATTTCAAAATTTGGTCTTTTATTTAAAATTAATTAAATTTAATAATTCAAAATCAAAAAGCTGATTAAAAGGTTGAGTGTTTAAATGGATAAAATTTAAAATTCAAAAACTAATTTAAGAGGTTGAGTGTTTTAATGGAGAAAAAATAGGTATTAAAATTGGTAAATGTGTATTATAGAAGAGAGAGTGTAATGCATCTAAAAACTTACACTAAAATTTAAAAAAAAATTTATGTAATATTTAAAAAAAATAGGGAAAATTAGAGAATATAAAAATTATAGTTGTGTATTTAAGTTATTTTTCCAAAATAAAATTAGGATAAGTGTAAATTTTCATATGAAATAAGGATATATTTCTCCCTTTTGAAGTCGCCACCAACCAAGACACCTCCATTCTCCCCTTTCTTTTTCACCAAACAGCCACCAAGACCCTCCTACTCTATCAATTTCCTTATTCTCGTCAACCCAAAAATCCACCTGTTGCTTTCCCTCCGACCACCAAGAACACCACCCCAAACGTACAACAACAAAACCCCATCTTCCTCTTCTCTTTTTCCGATGAAACTTCACCCATTTCCTCTTTACAAATGACTAGCACCAACCAACAAAAATCTACCTGAAACAACCCCCAAAACCCATTATTTTCCCCTTTAATTGCTGCCAACAGTGACTCCGACGAGGAGTTTCAACATCTGATGAATCGGAGTAAAATAATCACGAGACCATCAAGAACCATCCCTCCCCCCTTTTTTCTATATGATCTTGTTCATTTTGCAGCCATTTTAGCGAGCTACAAACTCCAAAACTGATGAGCTCGAAGCACAAGCGAGTCAACATGCTCGTAACAACGATGAACCAGCGATCTACAAGCTCCAAACCAGCAGCCACTATTTGCTTCATCTCCGGTGAAACTCAAAATGCTCCAGCGAAGCTTCAAACTCCGGCTACCGTTGTATGATATTGTTTGTTTCATTTTATTTTTATTTTTCATCGCGGTTTGCTGTGATAAGAATTTCAACAACATCTCATTATATTTGTTTGGTGTTTGTCCTTTTTTCTAATTTTTTTTTAAAAAAATAATAATAAAATAAATAAATGCACACACTTAACTTACCACGGTTCCACTGTTAACTATGTCATATTTTGTTTATTAAATAGATTATGTGCAATTTACAATGTTTCAGTAATAGGTCATATGTGTTGGTTTCTCTGCTTTATTTTTAGTTTGTATTATTATTAATTTTATATATTTTTATTGGATTTTTGTGTTGATAGTAATGTATGAATTTTTATCGCTTTAAATGATTGCTACTCAATCTTGCCACTTTTAACTTGTCGATTAGATTCTATTATTGTTGTTATTATATACATTTAGCTATCGGTTAAATGATTATTAAGTTAACTTAATAGTTTTAGTTTGTTCTAATAGCCTTATTTTATTCTATTAGGTGTTATGATTTTTAATTATATGTTCATTTTATTTATTTGTTTAATTTGTTGGTTATTTGAATATTAGTTTATATTATTTATTGTTCATTATTTTGGATATCTTCATTTGTTATTTAAAGCATTGTTAGGATTTTATTTTATTTTTGCTATAAAATAGTCATTGTTTGTGAAATTTTGGTTCTGCCTGTCATCAAGTCACTATTGTTTTGCTTATATTTTTACTTAGTTTATTTTTTTCTCTTTATTGGTCAATGATGAAAATCTCTTTGTCGGGTTTAGAGGTCTCCCCAATGTTTAAAAGATGGAAAATTTAGTTCAAAATTATATATTTTTTTGTGATAAAATTGGCCGATGAAAATACCGTCTATTTCTAAGGTCTTCCATGTTTATAAGACGGATTTTTATTTTTAAGTTATTATTTGAGTTATTCATTTTTATTCATGATTAATTTATCACTAACTCTTTTACTAATTGTGTTTACAGGTACCCTTGAGTTGCTTCTCATCGAAGTTATTCCAATGGAATTGAAATGTATTTTATATTTATCATTGTGTATATAATTGATGTTAGGCAAACATTAGGCCAATACTTGCATTATTATTTTATTTTGTTATTTGTTTATATTACATGTTAGTTGACTTGTATATTATTTATTTGCTCCTCAATTTGAAAAAAAAATGAATTCAGTCGGAACCCACAATTGTGGATTTCGAAGGGTGCCTAACACCTTCCCTTCGAAATAACTTGAACCACTTACCTAGAATTTCTCGATTCGTAGATCACTTATTGATTTCCTATTTTTTCCCTAAAATTAGGTGGCGACTCCTTTTAAAACTCAATTATTATTTAAATTCTTTAAAAATTGAATCAATTAATTATTTTTGAGTCACTGCGATGTTTCGCCCTATTTTAAATAGAGTAGGGATGTAAACATGAACTACACACAACCCTGAGGTGTGTTTCTCAAACTAAAAAGTGATAGTTTAGGTATTAAACTCACACTTTCAATAATTTAGGTATAAAACTCAAAAAAAGTGAAAAGCTTAGGTGTATTTTTGACACTTATCTCTTATTTTTATTTAGCGAAATATGTCAGAAGACGAAGAGGAACAAGTTATCCCAGTAAATTAGATGGTTACTATTTGAGTGATTGAGATTCTTTAAAGTTGAAAAGTCAGTTCCCATTATAAACTAGTTCACGAAATGTGGTTTGCACGTTTGTCCTATAAAATTATTATAAAGTTAAATTATTATATAGAAAATGTTGAACTTAAAAATATTAGTTTTATCATTTATATTTTATTCATTAAATAAAATTCATAATAATTGAATATTACATTGACCATCAAGCAAGAAATATGAAAAAATAATAATAATACTATAGCATCTAATAATATGAAAATAACTATATGATTTATCCTTAACAATCTCTCATTATGCTCCATATAGTAATAAGTACACAAATATGTATTATTTAAAGAAACTATATCAATAAGGAAAGGATAAAAGAAAAATAATCTTAATAAAGTACATTTTAAAATGAATATAAAAGTCATAAATTAGTAATTTTAGCACTAATAAAAATAGACTTGTAACATTCATTATTTCATAGAAGATTAAATTAAAGAAGTATAAATCGGTAAATAATACAAAAAATTAAACAAATAAGAACAAATACAACATTCATATCCTTCTTATGACCTTAATAATAACAATGTAACACTTCGAAAGTCTAAGATGTGTTCTAGAGCCTAAATAAGTGTAAAAAGGTTTAGACACTATATTAAGGTCTATTTTAATGAATATAAGTAATTTAGGAATTTTAGAAATCAAAACGTCAAAGAACGTCCATAACGTCCGGAAACTAGTTCAAGGAGGTGCTAGTGTACCTTAACTTTTGACTAAGTTTTAGGGATCGGAAAATGATGAAAATTGGTGGAAGGGTGTCTAACACGTATTAGAGTTGACTCATAATCGAAACGTCCAGGAAAGACTCCCCAGGGACCAACCAAGGGCCCTTGAGGAGGACCCTTGCATTTTGGGGTCAAAGGTTGCCTAAAGCAGTGTCCACCAACGGATGCAACCCAGGATTTGTCATCAAATCGACGGTTCGTGGACTGCTTCTGTTCGATGGAAACTTAGCCAAATTTTTGGAAGCCTGCAAATGGACAGTCTCTGAACTTATCGACGAGTGTGCATCACAGAGGTGAACAGTGCCCGTGATGGCCACACGATCCATCGATCGTGGTCTCATCTTTGGAGCCACTATTTTGCTGCACGTTTTTATTTAACTCATTTAATTAGTTGACATAGTTAGGAGGTTAATTAGGTTTTAGGGGAGGTCTAATTAAGTCATTTAACAACCTATATAAAGACTCTAACCTAATTAGACTAACCTAAGCTCTCATAATTCCCAAAATCCGAACTTTCTTCCTTCTCTCTTCTTTCTCTCTCCCAAGTTGAAGAACACCATAGAAGACGAGGTCAAGGTGGGTTATAGGTCTGCAATCACCAAGGTTTCTCCATCAATATTCATTAAACATTAAAGTATGAGATTCTTTCACCTTTGGAATTTCTTTCCCCAAAGGGTTCCATCAAATTAATTTCAAAAGTATGTAATTCAAGTGGGTCTTTTCCAATCTTGAAATTGATCTTGTGAATTATTTAGTTTGCGATTTCCTTTAGATATTATGAATATATTAACATGTATTATAACTCAATTATGTTATTTCTTGATGGATTGGTCTAGTTTGTAGGAGATGACCTATTTCCCTTAACCCTAGGTTGTGCTCTTGATATGAATTGTGTAATGTTAGTTCAATTGAATTGGTTATTGGGTGAAGTACTACTAGATGATGTTATTGTATCAATTATGAATAGTTTAAGATGAATTTAGCCCTATCAAGCTAGTTCTTGAGTAATTGATCTAGATTATGACTTTGACCTAGGTCTCTTATCTTAAGTTATGAACTAGTAATGAATTGTGATGTAGTGAATCAATTGGCTTTGTTATTTTGTTGATTATTATTATGTGATGATATTGCACCTTTATTGGGTTGAATTAAGAGTTGATGGTAAGACCTTGATGATGGAGTATGAAGGAGACTTGGTATTTCTTGTGATCTCAACTCTTTACTCCAATTGTGGTTAATTGTGATTTAAGTGATGATGTTGCATTGAAGTATACCTTGTATTAAAATTTATATGGTTGGTATGATGTTGAATTGAAATGTCTTGACGATGATTTTGTGAGGTGTTGGCTAAGATGTAAATATTATAAGATGGTGATAACTTATCAATGTGTCTTATCAAGATGTGATTATGTAAATGTGCTAACCTTTCTTATATGAGTTGTAATGAAAGAACTATACTAATACAATTCTTATTGAGCTATGATGATGATGACTATACAAGGGATAAACCCTATGACCTACATTAAGTTATGGTGATTATAAAAACATTAAAGACATTTCAAAAGGGTCTCTAGCTTAGCACCGAGTGAACTAGAGTGAGGAGTGTCCCTTACCACATAGGGAAGGTTGGATCAATAATGTACTCTTGGGATTGTAGACTAAAATGCATGTACCATAAAGAGGGTCGCAACTATATCTCCTAGTTCTTTAACTATGTTGCCCACATAGGAATACTAGCTAGTGGATCCACGTAGTTGCTATGTTCATGTTTTGGTACTACCCTGACAAGTAGTCCACCTTCCTTCGGTATAGGGTTCCATGACACTAGATTCCACATCAGTTCATGTGGTCTATGTCGGTTAAGGCAAGATGTTCCTAAAAGGTAAAATGGGCTAAAGGAATGAACTCTAACAAGGATAACCTAAGGAGTTTAGCTTAGTCTAGGTAGGGGTATGAGACTCTACCTAAATATTGCACTAGTTAGCCTTGAGGGAAGTCTTAGGAGGATGTTCTTTTATATGTATATGCTTATAATGGTACATGATATGTATATGATGATCTTGCACATTGTTGATACTATATGATGATTGGTCTCACTTATGAACATGTGTTGGTCTCCATCGGTAAAGTATGATGATATGTACTTTTAATGATATGCTATGAGAAGTTGGATGTTTGTCATGATTCTTGTTGGGTTTATTTGATTGAGTAAGGTTATGGAGCTTTGCTTGGTCATTGCACTAGTTAACTTAATGAGGGGTCATGGGTAATTGTCTTGCTTTAATTATGTTGTAATGAACTCTTAGTCATGCTTGTTGTTAGGGTTGCCTTGACCGTGTGTTGAATTATGTGATATGCATGTGACTTGACTAGATTTAGTATTGTTGGTCTTGTGATGTACGTAATTTTGACTTAATGAATATGTCTTATTGTTTGACATGGTCTTCCTGAATGTGCTTAAGACTTTTCAAAGTAAATTGCATACTTTAATGAATTGTTCCTTTTTAGCATGATTTCATGATATGTGTGCATATGGTTTCATACTTAGTATAGGTGGTGTACTAACCCCATTTTCTCCCCTTTTCCCCACATTTTAGGTTCCGGTTGTTGAAGGGCCTTCGAGAAGACTTTGAAGGAAGACTGGGAATTCTCATTCATCCAAGTTGGATAGGTCCTCACTTTTTGAGGGCAATGTCAATATCAAACTTATGAAGTTGTTTTAGTTTTAAGACTTCTATGTTCTTTCCTTTTCATTTGAGTACTAAACATTGTATAGACTATATGTGGCCTCATTACTTTGATATATGGGATATGCCCAAATTGATATTCTTGTGCTTAGATGGTTTATGAGATGAGACATCCAATTATGACTATGTCATATCTTATATATCTATGTGCAATAAAAGTAGAAGACTATGTAATCTTCTTATACGAAGGGTCTATGTATACTCGATAAAAATATTATGTGTATGTAGAGTTCTATGTAAACCTCAATGTAGAAGTAATGAAAAAGTTTTAAAAATTTTCGCATTTTTAACCTATGAATGCAATGATGCAAGCTAAGAGGCTAGTCTTAGTCCTCAAGAGGACGCCGACGCCGGTTGCGTCTAGGGGGTGCTCCCCAGATGGGACAAACAATATATATCGTAAAAGAAATACATGAGAAGTAGAGTTCTTCATGATACCTCAATTTGTAACAAAAAAAACCATCTAAAATCGTAAAGATAAAACTATGATATAAAATATCATTCTAATTAGGATAAAACAAATATTAATATTTAAAAACAAAAAAAAGTACATGAAAATTTCCTATTGATTCACATCAACAAGAGGCAAGTGACAAAGAAAAATTACCTTTTCATGATACATATATATAGTTAAAGATTTATAGAATAAGATAAAAAGGAAAAGAGTTGTTTAAGTTAATTCTGAAAAGTGAGTGATCCTGAACATGGAGAGAAAAAAGGTTGATTGTTTTTACTAATAATTCAATACATCTTATTATTCATCTGTTTTGTTTCTTAGCGTTTAAAGATATAAATGTGTGTTGAGAAATCAAGTTCATAGGACCCGGGGCATAGGTATCCTCTGGTTAGGGTGTCCAATTGGACACCCTTCGTAAAAAAATTACATCGTATCTATAAAGAAATAATAATTTAAATGGTTAAATAACATATTTTGGACACCCTAGAAAAACAATAATTTTTTTAGCTTTTAGTGGTTCAACTTTTTACTAAATT